CTCCAGTCTGGGCAACAGAGGGAGACTCCAACTCAAAAAAAAAAAAATTAGCTGGGTATACTGGCACATGCCTGTAACCCCAGCTACTTAGAAGTCTGTGGTGGGAGGATCTCTTAAGGCCACGAGTTCAAGACCAGCCCAGCTTGGACAACATAATGACATCCCATCTCTAATTTAAAAAAATTAGTTGGGCATGGTGGCACATGCCTGTAGTTTAGCTGATAGAGAGACCTGCTAATGTCTGTCCATATTGCCACAGCCCCTAGAGAAGGGCATGGCAAGGGTTCAAGAGCTCCTGTGCATTCCTGAGAGCTAATAAAAGGTGCCCTTCCCTTTATCTCCTATGCACTTCCAATAAGCAGTTTCAAAGGATCCTTAACTTCCCTGAAGACTATGCCCAATTAGCTGAGAGATCCTGAGAGTCCCCTAATCTCCTATGGACTCCCAGTAAGTAGCTTCAGGGGATCCTTGACTTCCTTGCAGACTGTGCCCAATAAACTGAAAGATGTAAATTCCCATATACTCCCCTTTCTTAGTAGTCAAAGGTTTGAATAATATAGTATAAATGTAATCATAAGTTTTGTGATATGTATAACTTTTGCATAATGCATGATGTCTTGGGCCTTATAAACTCCCTTTACTCTATGGCACGCCTGATTAACACTACTTCTGGGCCCTATTGACAAAAGCTGTTGAGATACCTCTGGTACCTGGCACCAGGGATTCTGGACCGTAAAATGTCACTATTGGTTAAATACGGCTGTAGCTTAAGTTCTATACAATGCTCTGCTAGTCACATGCCTAATCCATAGTTACCAACAACTCTGGACTTATAAAAGCAGACTGTAAAACTTGGAAGGGTGAGCAGAACCATTTTAAAGAGGCCAAAAGCCCACTCTGCTCCCTGCATTCGAATTCAGAAATAAAACTCTTTCTGCCAGTTCCCTGTCCCTTTTTTTATTGGTATCAAGGGAGAGCAGCTGAGTGCTACTCCGACTGTAACACAGCTACTCGGAGGTTAAGGAGGGAGGTCACTTCCGGCCAGGGGTTTGAGGTTACAGTGAGCTCTGATGATGTCACTACACTACAGCCTGGACAACAGAGGGAGACCCCATTCCTAAAAATAAAACAGAACAGCCACCTGTCCCCAACAAATGGGGCTGGTCAGGACCCTTCTGTGCTTGCCCGGGGCCTCACCGAGGACGTAGATCCTGCCCTGGTGCATCGTGACCCCCAGGGCGCTTCGCCGGTGCTTCATGGGGGCCACGAAAGCCCAAGTCTCTGTCTCCACATCGTAGCGCTCCACGCTGTTCAGCTGGTCCTGCCCGTCATAGCCCCCGGCGGCATAGATGCAGTTGTGCAGGACACAGACACCTAAACAGCACGTGCAGGGGTGACTCCGGGTCTGGCCGGCAGCCCAGCCAACCCCTTCTTGGGGGAGCCCCCTCCATCCCTCCCCTCTCCCCCTGAGACGGACGCCTGAAGAGACAGAGATGAAGACCCTATGGAAACCCAGCTCTTCTGGGATGCCAGGCAAGGGAGGCTCCCCCTGCCCTCGCTGAGTTTCATGACTTGGGGTCTCTCCCTGGAAGCTCCGCCCCCGCGCCCCGCCCACCTGCCCCGCTCCGGATGGTGTTCATCGGTGTGATCATTCGCCACTCGTTCCTCTCTGGGTAGTAACACTCCGCGGAGCTGAGGCGGTTCGTCCCATCGAAGCCCCCGACGGCATAAAGCAGCCGATTCAGGACGGCCACACCCACCCCAATCCTTCGCGTCAGCATCGGGGCCACCAGGTGCCACTCGTCCCGCTCGGGCTCGTACCTACAAAGGCATAAGAACGGAGAGACAAGACCAGCGGGATTGACCTTCATGAACGGTATACGAAGAGCCGGATAGTCCCCTCCTAGTTGTACATTTGAACTCTTTTTTTTTGAGCCAGGGTCTCACTCTCGGCCAGGATGGAGTGCACTGGTACGATCACGGCTCTCCCCATGAGACCTCTTGGGCTCAGGTAATCCTCCGGCCTTAGCCTCCCCAGTAGCTGGGACTACAAGTATGAACCACCACCCTGGCTGATTTTTTTTTTGTAGAGACAAAGTCTTACCATGTTGCCCTGGCTGGTCTTGAACTCCTGGGCTCAAGTGATCCTCCCACTTCAGCCTCCCAAAATACTGGGATTACAGGCGTAAGCCACTGTGCCCAGCTGCCTGTCTCTATTAAAAATAATAATAAGCCGGGTTCGGTGGCTCAGCCTGTAATCCCGCGCCTTTGGAGGCTGAG